ACATACATCTCCTCATTTTTACACGTGAGGAAACTAAGGCATGGAGACATTAACTACCTTGCTCATAGTCACACAACTGGAGGTGCCGGAAGCAGTATTACGAAGCATTGGTAATCACTATGTTAACTGACAAAATGGGCATACATTACTAACAGCTCTTAGCTTGTGCCTCCCCAACACCGGATGAAACTTGCATATTAAGTCTAAGTTAAATGCTGTTGCAATGCAAACTCAGCTTCAAGAACATACAACTTCTAGGCAAATCACTGCTCTAAAGTTCTTCTGTGTGGAAATTTGAGAACCCATCCCCACCTCTCACATTAGCATACTAGCCCGACCTATGTTTACTGTCTTTGGATGTCTGAATCCAGAAAGTATTGTACTTGTGTCCGCTTTTACATTTAAGAAAGTGTATTACAATTTCATGCTTTGTATCTGTCTTCCTGTAGGGCTGAAACTGCCTCGTTACATTCTAACAAACAGCCCTCAGTCTGCTTTGCAATATGAGTGCACAATAATTGTTTAAGAACCTTTCTTCTAATACTTTTCTTCTATTCTAGTAACAGAATAATGCCTATTCTATGTTTTATCTTAAGTATCTGTTGTTTCCTTGATCATCTCTGAAGACATATACTCTATCCAAATACGCCACTGTTTCTAACCTGTGAGGAAATGTGAACAGTTTTGTTTTTAACGGCCACAAATACAAAAGCCAAACTAAAAAAATATGTAGGCTAAAACTGCAAGGCAACAGCACTAACTCAACCTCGGCCCCCCCAGTTTTCCCCATTATCTTCCTGAAGTGGTTGCAGCCTGTAATTTTAATGTTTCTTCTGAGAGTGACTCCCTCTACTGCTCCTGCAAAGCCATGACCTAAATCAGAAAAGTGCTAAATGCAGTTAAGGCCTAATAGAACACCCTTGCTGTTCGCACTAACTGGAGAATCTAGCATACATCAGAGAACCGTGACGTTAAATCTCAATAATAATTCTAAATAAGCTACAAGGGTTTACTTAGTAGAACTCATGCCTTGTTTGTGTCCTTAGGGGTATTGCTTAAAATAGATCAGTAAGAATTCTGATGAGGACAACCAGATCCCAAACTACAATAATAGTCCTTCGAGGATCCTGTCTTATTTAACTATTTACCCTCAGTATCCAAAACACAGAAGTCCGGGGAGTCAGTAAACCTGTTATAATCTAATGAGTCCTCATTCTTTCGCAAGTGCTTGAAAAGTTTACTCTTAGAAGCTTTTAAGTATTCTCTAAGCTAGAATATGCAAAACCATTTTTCTAAACGGAAGTAAACTAGCCTACTTTTCCTTATTGCATATTCCCTATGTGAATTCATAATTTTTCTGATCCTCCTACAATGAAAAAATATATGATGGAATTGTAACGAAGTTTAGTTGCCTTCAATGTTGACGGTCCATTTGCACCACGTCAACATGCAAACATGCATGAAAGCAATTTTTACTCTTTTGTAAGAAGACAGTTTAAAAAAAAAAACAAAAAACAAACCAACACTATGAATTAAGATAATAGAGAATTATCCCAATTTGATTAGAGACTTCAGTAATTTTTTGTCCTAAGTGTGGTGGTGTTAACACTCATAACACTAGTTGGTGCTAGATAAGCAGCATATCAATGCTGTGTAGCCCAGATAAAATGCATTTATAAACCAGGAGAGTCCTAATTCAGAAGCACACTGAAAACACACACACACACACACACACACACACACACACACACACACTGCCTTTTACTAGTAAAATCTTTCATTCTTGGAAGTCAGAAATACTGCAAATTCCCTGGAGCTAGGAGTTCCCAGCAATCCTGAATGAAACAATTAGGGCATAGCCAGAAAGGAGAAAGTTGTTGCCTAAAGCCTAGAGAATTTCCCAAGGACCTATTTTTAAATAACTGCTGTCTAAACCACAGTTACAAAACTCAGTACCCTCACAAATAATGGCTATTCTATGTTTTATCTTAAGTTTCAGTTGTTTCCTTGATTATCTCTAAAGATACATACATACTTCTTATTTTGAAGTACTTCAACAACAAAATAAAAACCTCATCCACATTGTAAAGTGCTTAACTCTCCCATGTTAATTGCACATGGACTTTCATTCATAAGAAATAGCTCATTTCCATCTTTAAGTCATCCCCACAAGGAAATCATACCTTGAGGTTATGGGCTAGTGTCCTAGTCCAAGGAAAAGAGAAAGAAGAAAAATAAGTAGGAAAAGGGAGTCTGACCATCAGATCATTTACAAAATGTGTGATTCTGTGAGGAAAGTGTTAATAGTGGCTCAAGATAAACAGGCTGGGGTAATGCACTGCAATGATGACGATAGTAGCTGATAGCGGAGTTCGGGTGCTTTCTCCTTCCTTTAATACCTAACAGACAACACAGGAAGAGCTGGTATGCCTGGAGCATGGAGGATAACAAAGATAAAAGTGGTAGAATAGTGCATTTTACAGACCATAAGATTCAAACAAAAATTTTACTAATCAAGAACTGAAGGAACTAAATAAACGAAATGGACAAGAACTGCACTGAAACGCACACACCCAACATAGTACATTTTCTTTTTCCACTTAAGATGAGAGTCAGTCCCCAGTTTTCAACTTGCCTAGTCTATAAAAAGTACAAGAGTAAAACAGTCTATCCTAAGGATCTTTTCCTTTTAATCTCTTCTCCCTTCTTCTTTCAATATTAATCCATTTACAATCTCCTGTTTGATTATCTTTATTGATCCTTTTTCTACCCAGTCTTTTTAATTTGGTTATTGTAAGCTCTTAGCAGGAATCCTATCTCCTGTTTGATATCTTTGGGGACTTTAACTTGTCCTTTTCCCAAAAAGTTCTCTCACTGCGTCCTGTCCCCATCTCCCACCACCCACCCCCACAGCGCAGTCCTTTGTGTGCCCAGTAACAGCAGGCAAATTCCACAGGGAGTCACACGGTCGATTCCAGGACTATTCATCAGGTTGTTCACTTAAGCTTCCAAACAACCCCCTCTAAGCATCCTTGGCTAGCGTCCTGAGAACTTCTTATCAATTTTAGGAAATCTACAAGTTATCATCCTCGCTGGCGATTCCTTTTTAAATGGACAGACAGATGAACTCTGGAGGTGTGTATAAGAAAACCAGAGCAGAACCTTGGGGGTGGGAGGCATCTGGCGAGAAGGGAAGGAAGGATTTATGAGCATGGCCACTTAGCAGGGCAGCAGGAAAATTTACTTCCGAAGAAGCTATTTCTAATTCACAAAGCCTTGCTAATCACTTACCTCCCCACCTAGACCACACTCGCCTATGCTAGGCACTCCCCTTCACTTCCAACACCCTCAACCCCAGCGCCTCTCTAAGATCCCAGGGATTGCTGTCCGGAAACCCTAGGGCGTCTGAACATCGCCTGGGGAGTTGGGGCTACCCCAGAGCCGCCCCCGACTCTCCAAATTTGGAAGAAAGAGTAACGGAGATTGGGGAGAGAATCCCTGAATCGCCTCTGAAAGCTTCATAAGCTTCCTAAACCCTCTCCTCTTCCAGGAAAAGCTGAGCTGCCTCGCCTGAGCCAGCTATCACCACTGAGCTGGGCAAAGAAGAGACCCAAGTAGGAGCTGGGCTTGGCCAGAAGTTTTGGGGCCCAGGTGACCTGAGAAAGACCTCAGAGGGGGCAGCCTTGGTTCTTCTCCGCTCCCTTCCAGTCAGCTTCTTAGGCTTGGAAGGCTGGGAGCTGCTGCTACTACTTCAAACTAGGGGGACGAGAAGGGAGCCAGGTGCCTCTCCTCCTTCCTTACCCATTCCCAACTCCCGGCCACACTCTTCCCATCCCGGCTTCGCCCAAGGCCCTGGTCACTTATGTTAACGCTCACAGGCATTAAATTAAAACATCAGAGTTATAAACTAGTCCGTTACGCCGAGGAGTTTCGGATTTGGCTTGAACAACCAGCTGGGTCCCCCAGAGCTCTGGGATTGTCTTTTCTACGTCCCCTGGTGGGAGGCAAACACGAAGAGGGGTATGTATGAGTACAGAGGCATGCACACCCCGGGCCTGCCTCCGGCCGGGTACGAAGATTCGGGTGGGCTGTGTATTATCTACAGCCCCTCAAGCAGCAGGCGAGGGGGACCGGCGCTTTAGCCTCCTTGGCAGTAATGGACACATTTCCTTAGCAGAGAGCCCTTCGGGGTCTGGTGTGCTGCACAGAGACTCAGTGAAGATCCTGCAACCCCAGCCTTGGCACCCTGCGGGGAACCTCTGCGCTTCATGCGCTTCGGGGTGCACTATGGCATGGCACACAGCGACCGGCACCGAGAGTCTCTCCAAATCTCTGTGTGTACAATATGCAACAACGTGCGCGTGCGGAGCTGAAAGGGCACAAGACACCCCAGGCACCCAAATGTATGGAGACGGATCAGACGCGTGTACACACCCCGTTCGTCCCTGATCCATCCGTGCCCATCTCGGAAGATAGGTTAAACATAAATGATAATAATAATAATAGCTTCTTGACTAGTTGAGAAAGTGGAATTTAGAGTGGTTTCCAGTTGAGAGCAACGAGGCAAATTGAGGAAGTCAGGAGAACTGGGGAGGAGGAGAGGAAGGAGGGAAGGAAGAAGCGAAGGGAGGTGGCCGCGGAGCCTGGCGGACCCCCTTACCTTGGGCGGCGGAGCCAGTGCCACTGGCGCTGAGCAGGGCCAGGGCAGGTAGCACGAGCATTTGCAGCACGTATCCCAGTCCCAGTCCGCAGCGGGCCGCTGTCGCCCGCAGACCTTTCCTCATCGTAGACAGAGGTGTGCCGGGGAAGGGGGGGAAGAGAGAGATGCGCAAACAGCGGAAAGCCCCACTGGGCAGCAGCTGAATCCGTGCACCGCGAAGCAGTCCGAAGAAATAACGACAACCAAGCGCCACACTCCACTTTCTTCAAGGGCAGGGGCCAAAGGGGGAGGAGAGGAGACGCCGAGGAGGAGTTTGAAGGTCCCTCTTTCCCAATGCCTTCTAACTGACGTCTCCCGCGAGCGACTGCTCTGCCCCCACTTGGGAAGTCCAGGGAGGCGCTAGGCAGCCACCTCCGCTGCTCCCCCCAGCAGTAGGAGCAGCCGCTGCTCCACCGCGCGCTGAGTCTGGACTGCTCTCCGGGTCCCCTCGCCTGTGAGGAACACACACAGGCACTGGGAGTGGGGGTGGGGGTGGGGGTGAGGGTGGGGGTGGGGGTTGAAGCGGGGGTGGGGGGGAAGTGGGAGGAGGAGGGAACGGAGGGAGGAAGCTTGTGCACCGTCAGGCGCTCTGGTCTCCAATCTCAGTGTTCTCACGCAGGCAGAGAGATGCCCGGGCTGTCGCTGCTGGGTAGCCGAGGAGGGTCACATCGTAGAGTAGGGCGCACGGGTACGCAAAGGAGCTCGCCAAGGAGGCGTAGAGGGCGCAGCCCAACTCCGCTGGGGAGTAACCGGCTGTGGAGCACGCCCGCCCGCCTTATGTAAGCAAGGATTGGAGGGAGATCAGCGCCCAGGGCGGAAGGTGGAGACCGGCTGTGGGTTTGCCCGCTGAAGCCGAGGCGAGAGAGACCAGGGAAAGAAGCGGCGGCAGAGAGTGGCAGCGCGCCTGCCTCCCGCGGTGCGCCAGACCCGGACGCCGGGAGTGCACAGGGCGCGCCCGGGCCACTTGGCTGTGGCCAGTGGAGCTCAGCCTGCTGCCTGCCACCTTCCTCACAGCGCCAGCAAAGCCTGAGCCGGATTCCCTGGGACTGGACTCGCTGTACTTTGCGGTTGATGAAGCCGGGTGCGGGCTCGAACTGAAGTCCTGCTTGGTTGGGGAGGAAGGCAAGAAGCTTCTGCAGTGCCCCAGCCCGGTGCTGCCTTGGGGTTGTCAGCGCCAGTTAGACTGCTTTATGTTCTGAGCGCATGTGACTCCTTTGCAGTGGAACAGAAACTAAAAGCTCGATGAAAACTCATTCGGCAACAGTGCTTTCTTTGCGTGCATCTTGGTGGCTGGCAAGGGTGGTGAGGCAATACAGGGAGAAACACTCTTAGAAAAAAAATGCACAACAAAATTCGTAGATACGCAAAGTGATGGTGGAGCCTATAATATGTTTTTCAAATTTCTAGTAGTGCGTGTAAGAACTCGAGCTGCTATGAATTTCTTTACCTTTCGACAGGAAAAATTTGTCTATGTAACTGGGTCGTGAAGCCCTGTTGTCATGATAAAGGAGGAATGCAAGATTGGGTGGGTAAAAGAAAAAGACTAGACAAAAAGAAAGTGAATTTATTAAAAAGTCAACACATAGCATTTTGGGAAGAAGAAAACCACTTCCCAAGATTAGTATATCTTTAAACTAGCAAATAATACATCAGGGAATTTTATGTCCTTGGTGCCAAGGGGGCCGTGTGTAAACACACACGCACACACATACGCATGTGTATGTGCAGGAAACTTGCAGTCTAAATTTGGCTGTGGTCATCACTACTCTATGACCCTGGGTAAGTCAGGTAACCTGTGAATGTCTCAGTTTCTTCATTTGTGAAATATTTTATTTGATAGTTTCAAAGTTCTCTTAAGTTCTAGCATTCCGTGATTCTGCCTGCACAGCCCCATCTAGGCAATAAACCTGTCTTGGATGAATCAGAAATATCCAAAAAGGTGGTATTTGCCAAAGACATTGACAAAACTGGCCACTTCTTATTTCTATGGAGGCTCTCTCTGCCACACAAAACTCTTCTTCACTCTTTTCATCTTCTCCATTCCAAGACATCATGATATTTGAGAAGAGGGTAGGTGCTGGCACCAGACTGTCTGCCTTCAGTTCTTACCATTTCTTACTACTTGACCGATATTGAACTTTAAAGCTAGGTGCGTCTCTTCCCTAATTTGTAAGATGGGTAGTAGTAGGAAGTATCTCATAGGGGTTTTGAGGATTATGTAAGTTAAACTCATGTAAAATGCCTGACACCAAAATTGTTAACCACTGTTCTTACCATTGATGAAAAATTCCCGTTAGCCTTATGCTATCTAGACTATTGCGTTCAACAGAAATTTCTGCAGTGAAGAACATGTTCATATCTGTGCTTTCTGAGGTGGTAGCTGTCAGATACATGTGGCTACTTGTAGTGTGGCTAGTGTGAATTGGAAACTTTTATTTAATGTTAATTTAAATGGTCACATGTGGCCAGTGGCTACCATATTCTATGGTGTAGTGAGACCACTAATAACTTGTCAATTACTTTGAGAATCACTTCACGAGAAGGGATTACTATTACATTTATATGTACAATTTTACTAAGAAGGGCAACAGCTTAAATACTAAGAAATTGCCACATACACTCGCCATCACATCAACAACGTACAAAAGTTGTTTATTTACAATTTTATTGCCTGCCTTCTTAAACTAGAATTTAACTCTTTTAAGACAGAGATTCTGCCTTTGTCCACGGCTCCTAAACTGAAACTGATATATAGATGGTACTCAATCAATATTGATTGATTTCCTGCCAGAAAAGCTCAACAGAAAGAGTCCTTAAAGTCTAGCACAGCTAAAGAAGGTTGAAATTGTCGCCTACTCCTGTTTGGGGCATTGAGTTACTCAGTGACAGATACTACACGCAATTAGTTGCTTAAAAGAAGGAATAAGAGATTAAAAGAGGAAAAGGAGTTAAATACTGAAATTCAGCCTAAAGAGGGCAGGAGAATGGTTTGAGAAGTGGTATAGAGAGATGAGGTGGAAAAGGGAGAGGAGAGTGAGAGCATGAGACCAAGGACAGGAAAAACACCAGCAACAGATCAGCTTTACGCAGCAGGCAAGTTTCCTGCTATCTACAGGTACAGATGGAACTTGCCTTGTGGATTAACATCCTGCCTACTTTCGTTGATCATCACATTTTTTTCCTCATGAGAGAAATAACGCAGTGTTTTATAGGCTCCTGAACATAGGCTTACTAATGTCACTGAGATCTGGGTTCAAATGACACTGCTTAGGGAGGTTTTCCCTGACCTAGTTACCTAAAATAGCAACAATATATAATCCTAAATGGCATCTACCTGCTTTGATTTTCCATATAACACCTACTTTATACAAGTACACATATGTGTGCATATATATATATATATGCTCTCCAATAAAATGTATGCTTCTCAAGGGGAGGAATTTTTTTCGAATACATTTAGTGCTCTATACCCAGAACCTGGAACAATATCTGGTACATAATAGGTGAACAATAAATACTTATTGAATATTGAATGGACAGAATAAGAGCCAATGGATTTAAAATTGAGCCAAGTCCTTCATTACACTTTCTTCCTCTCTTCACCCTCCGAAGTTATCAAATTATGATTTGGTTTTTCTAGTTGTTGAATAAAATCAAGTGTTGACAAAATTTCCCCCAAAATGTGTTGGAATATGACTTTTTAGGGTTGGAATACTGCAGGTGTTTAAGGGATAGACATGAAATTCATCTCATCTTGAAAAATGAAAAGCTTCATTTAAATCCATATACAAGGGCTTTCTTTTTCTTGGCTGCAGTGAGTGGAGAATTAACTCTGGGATAATAAATCCCAGTGACAGGTGCTAATGGGAATTAAGCATGCAAATCCCCTGCATATCCCTCCAGAAATCTACACCAAGAAAAGTATGCTATTTAGCATGTAGGCTGCTTGGTCATAATATCATTTACTCGGAACTGGTATGGAAACGTTTCCAGTTTAAAGCTTAAATCATAAACAACTGAACATATATTTTAATTATGGAAAGTTTCTTTTATCTTTCTCCTTATATGTTTGATTCCTCACTTTCCATATTTTTCTTGTAATTTTTAAAATAAATCTTCATACTAGGGATATTATTAACTGGATTAACTGGAAGCATAGGAGAAAGAAGATTTTAGTGAATAAATATGATGCTGATAAGGAAAATTCCTTCCCTAAGAGTTGGGAGTGCAGAGGCCTCACGTAATGTTACTGATAGACATAAACTAAGGAGAGCCAGATGGTCTAGATTCAGTTGATTCAATCTTCCTGCGCTGCCTTAGCCCAGAGAAAGAGATTTAACTTGTCATAAACCAAAACTCTCTAGGGCTTTATGCTTTTTATTAATTGTATTAGATAAGACCCATTTGGTTGCAAGTGAAAGAAACCCAACTCAAACCAGCTGAAGCAAAAAGATAATTTATCGCTGTACATAACTCAAAAACCATGGATGAGAAATATCCATATTAATAATGGATTCCATTTACCATCCTTTACTGTGTGTCAGGGACTTTCTAAGCTCTTTACATGTGCTATCTCATTTAATCATCATAACGGAAAGAAAGTGCCATTATTGTATCCATTTCATAAATGAGGAAACAGAGTGCTTAAGTAACTTTGCCCAAGGTCACACACAGTTAGTATTTACTAGTGACAGTCTGATTTGAGGGATAATGTCCTAGATCCATGAACTTAAATATCACCTGGTTATGCTCTCCTCTGTTTTGGTTTCATTCACAGACTTACAATCTCCATCCTGGGATTCCTGGCAGCTCCAGGTTTACATTGTCTTTATCATTATCAATCTCATCACAAAGCATACTCATTTCCAAATGGCAAAGAATAAATACAGAATTATGGCCATAAGTTTGGCTATCTTGGGCCACATACTCATAACTGAGGCAATTACCATGGCCAGATGTTTGGCATATACGGAATGGCAAGGCCTGGGTCATGTGCCAATATTTGCCAACTGGAAACTTGGATTGAAAATGGGAATAAAGGGTTCCCCAAAAGGATACACGGGAAAATGATTAATACAAAAAAAATAGATGCCAACGAGAATGGATGTAGGGCAGGCAAAATAACAGATCCCTAATCTGTGATATATGAGGCCGGGTGAGTTCTCCAGGCTTTTGTGCCATAACACATCACTGTAGCAAAAGAAGAGCATTGGTTAAGAAGAGCCGAAGAGCAGCCAGCCCCTTGTAGATTGCTTTTCCATTAACTGACTGGAAGAATTGAGTCCAATTTGATTCAATTCAGAAAACTTTCACTTCCCTCTATTATATTGTGGTTCCACTCTAGGATCCACGGAGGAAAAAATATATATGTGAGGTATAGTCCTTATGCAGCAATGGCTCACAGTCTAACAGAATATAAATAAATAAACAAAAGGATTTTAAATAAAGACAAAAATGTTGTGGAAATATAAGGATATAAGACATTTTTAACTATGAGACCCTGGGAAGAAGATTACCTAAATGTAAGACACATACTTGCGTATCAGCAATACTATGCTTCACACAATGGATGTATTTATTGCTAACGGCAAGGAACCTAAGAGTATGCAGTACATGGCCACTGTGGAAGCCCAGTTATGGTCTTTTTGTGGCGTGGCTCCGTGCTCCAGAATGTACAGCTTTCATTCTCACAGTTGCTTGGTAGCTTTTCCACTTCTAGAAGTCATGTTTCATTTTTCAGGCAGAAGAAGATGGAACAGGCCTGAAGGGCTGCAGCTGGCCCAGATGTCTTCCAAATAACTTTTCTGGAAGCCCTCAGTCCACCAAGTAGTTTCTATTTCCTTGATGGTCTGTCAAATGACCCCCTAAGACCAATCGCGAGTGGTGGGTAACGAGAAGGGTGTTGTGCTTGTTTGCCAGATCATCTGCGTTGGACACAACTTTGTTGGAGAGGAGGAACAAATGGAAGGCGCAGAAAAAAAGACATTAAGACAGGACATTTCAGGGTATATTTGGAGAACTATAGGTAAAGGAAAAATAGTTCTATTGTTGGCTGAGAAAATAAAAGGAGAAAAGGAAGGAAAGTGCTTTCTTCTTCTCCTTCACCTTCTTCTTCTTCTCCTTCTTCCTTTTTGTAGAGATACAGTCTTGCTATGTTGCCCAGGCTGAAGAACTGACTATGCACAGGTGCAATTATAGGGCATGACAGCCTTGAACTCTTGGCCTCAAGTGATCCTCCTGCCTCAGCCTCTGA